GTGTGTGTGTGTGTGTGTGTGTGTGTGTGTGTGTGTGTGTGTGTGTGTGTGTGTGTGTGTGTGTGTGTGTGAGAGAGAGAGAGAGAGAGAGAGACTGCGTCAACAATAATGCACAGGAGAGCCTAAAAACCACCCTCACCTCGCCCAAACCCACCCCCCAACCAACAAATCCCCACCCATCTTCATTTTAAAACTATTTCCTTCATTTTATTGCGGGCGAATCCACAACAGGTAACCTTGTCCCCTTTTACTTCCCTGTCTCACCTTTGTCATGCCCAAGTCCGGACATCCCGTGTTTCCGTCTCTCAGTAATGAATCACGTTTTTCCAGCTCTAATTACGAACTTCAATGCGGCCCAATACACTCGAGAATTAAATTTTAGCCCTCACTTCTCGTCCTTTCAGAGGAAGTAAAGGGCGGTGATAGGCTTGAGCCGCCCGACAGCATTCACGCTGTAATAGTTACCTGAGTTGCCGGCCCTGCATGATATGACTCAGCCGCAGGCAGTTTTCTGCATTATACAGTTGTGTGATCGAGACGAGCCAAACATCTTGGAGCCAAGTCGAACCCTCAGAAATTTGTTTTAGCATTTTATGCAAAATGGCTGCCAGAGTCAACTCCGGTCAGTGTATTAGGGATCATGATGACGGCACTTGGCAAACCGGCCTCAAATTTGAAACCCGCACTGGGTAAGTTGGCTCAATGGAATGACAAGCACACTTCGTTGATTGGTAGAGCACTGGTCATCAACAATGCTGTATTGGCCTCATTATGGTATAGATCGGCGATATGGACTCTTAGTAAAGGGACACAGACCGGAGGGCTGTTAGACGGGACCTAACTAGAGATCACTTTTGGATGCATCTGAAAGGGAGGGTAGTCGGTCATGTGGTTCAGGCGCCCGGCAGCAGGGCTGAAGAGGCCCCATCTTCTTCCTCCCGTCTTGGGCATTCATTCTCCTGCTCAGTAAATCCCCTGTTTTCAGGGCAACCAATGCTGGCAGGCACTTAGGCAAAAAAGCTCAGATGGATCTTAATGGCCTTTGTATAAGGGACGCTGGGCCCGTTCTCCAGCAGGTGCTGCTCCCCGCCAATAGATGGAGCCTTCCCGGAGGAGATAGGGGCATCTGCTCATACCATCGCTCCTAGCTCTAACACGGGTAGTTTCTTTAAAACTTATGAGACCAGTTGGTTCCAAGTCTAGGGAGTGGACATTGAACACTTCCCATCCCCAGGTCCGCTCTCCTTCTCCAAACGATTATGCGATGTCAGTTTGGTGTGGAGTCCATTGGGTTGGACTTGGACCGATGCTGGCACTTAAAAAAATGGGAAAAAAATGTCCTTTGGGACATCCTTAAAATTGGAACGATACAGAGAAGATTAGCATCTCCCCTGCACAAGGATGACACACATAAATCGAGAAATGGTCCAAATTGTTTGTTGTTTTTTTTTAAAGCCTTTCAAAAGGAAAAAACTTCAAAAAAGAACACCAAAGTGCATTCCGGTTTGGGTGCATTAGAAGAGGCCGGCTGAAGGTTTAGAATTAGAAAGTGACGTTATGCGACCCTCTCTGGTGCTTTGCTCTGTGCGCTTGAAAAGTTAGTTGCCTGCGGATGGCAGGTAGGGAGTGGTGTCAGCTTTTCACACAGGTTTGCATCCTTGCCTACCTGTAACTTGCCACCCTATCGATATAGCTCACATTACCATGGCTATATATAGTGTCTTACCTCTGTGCTCCGTCTATATGGCTCAATGTACGGAATGTACGGGGTTTTCCGGCCATACAAAACCCCACAGCTAGTTTTTGTACAGTTCCACGCGAAGTAGAATTTGTTTTTCTGTTTCTTTTTAGGAAAAAAAAAGGAAAAAAAAGAAGTACAATTTGTTTTTCTTTTTCTTTTTAGGGAAAAAAAGAAGTACAATTTGTTTTTCTTTTTCTTTTTAGCGAAATGCCCCAATCTTTTTGTGGGGAGCGTCATCTGCCGGAAATTGGGCCCGGCCTGTTTGAGCAGGGCCCCGGAATGGTATGGGCAAAAGGCGACCCACACTGAGAGACAAGCTGTCATCATCCAGGACATCGATTGGAAAGGGATTGATAGTGGGGGATGGGGTGGTAAATTTTTTTTGGGAGAGGGAGGAACTAGTCTCTCAGCAGCAGGTATCGGGCGCCTGGTACAGGGCGAAGAGGTTTTTTTTTTTCCTTCTTTCCAACAACCTGCACCGTCAATCCTCTGGAGGACAGAGTAATCAATGCTGGCAGGCGTCTTTCTCAGTCATATTTCCTGACATTTTCCTGATTCGTTCTGGGTAAGGGACGCTGGACCTGTTTTCCAGCAGGTGATGCTCCCCACCAATAGATGGAGCCTCTCCCCGGGTGCTAGTGATGCCTGCTTTTACCAGCAGCACTAGCACTGCAGGGGGTGAAAGCGCCACTCTCATTCGTCCTGGCAGCATTGATTGCCCGGAGAGCCCGGGTGTTAGCTGGTGCAAGGAAAATGAGCAGCGGTGAATTCCAGAAACGAAGCAGCATCATACACATGAAACCAGATAGTCGTGACCGCGAACCAAAGCAGAATTGCAACTCGAGTTCCACCAAACAAGAGCACAGCAAAAGCTCACAAGTGACAATGTTGGAATAGTCTCATCATCAGCAGCAAAGAACAATGTCGATTTCCTATCTGGCGCTCTGCGCCCAGACTACAAATGGCTAATCCTATCTAGCCTATCTACAATGCCGCTGGTGACGTCAACAGCTCCCGGAAGTACGAGCAGATCTCGGCCAATGCCGTTCGCCTCGAGCACTAGGTATGTCTCTCGCATCACTGACAACCTCGATCCCCCACACAGATGCCACGTGCACCCAAGGACCACCATGCGCCCCATCCAGCACCTCGCAGGCCAGCTCGGCTATGGCTGCGTGCGTGTCCCGGTCACCCGTGAGCGTGTGGGTGCTTGCCTGCCAGTAGCGCAGCAGCACTTGCGTAGCATGTAGCAAGTGCCCGAATACCAAATGTGGAGGCAGGCACTTTCCTATATGGAAATGGCCTGCCTGCTGCGTGCTGCCTGGCCGCGCTGGGTCCCTGCCCAGAATCTTTCGGTAGGCCCCAAGTAGCACAGCAGCACTTGCGCAGCATGTACCTGCCAGTAGCGCAGCAGCACTTGCGCAGCATGTAGCAAGTGCCCGAATACCAAATGCGGAGGCAGGCACTTTCCTATATGGAAATGGCCTGCCTTCTGCGTGCTGCCTGGCCGCGCTGGGTCCCTGCCCAGAATCTTTCGGTAGGCCCCAAGTGGCTGAGCCCCAGTCCAGGGGAATCAGGCACAGGGCCTGGGGCGGTTACGCGTGTCCAACTGCCAGCGCCCTGTGCGCAGTCCATGCCCCGTGTCTAGCCCAGGGCCTGCCTCAGGTACATTTACGAAAGGAAGGCAGGGCCTGGGTTCTCTCAACCAACTGGCGCTGCGCAACTGCCTGAATTTCCCAGTTGCGTGGTAAGCCCAAAATAGGCCTCTGGTCCTTGGTCAGGCCTGCCTTCACTTAGGGCGGCCGACATGGCTGAAAACAGGGCCCAGTAGGGCTCGTCGAGGCCTTGAGCCTCGCACTGGCCAGGATCAGCCTTGTGAAAATGAACAAGGCACCAAAGATATGTGAATGCGCACAAGGCACCAAACATATGCGAATCTGCGACAGCCTGCTGAAAAGCATGCCCTGGGAGGGGGGCGACTGTCCAGGCTGTAGGAGAAAGATCCAGAAAACAGTCATACAGCTGAGCCTAGTCAGTCGATATTGAAACTAGGAAGTACAAAATTTTTATTT